GGACAAAATGATGTTATTTGACACCAATCACATTGAATGCCCGAATCGCCTGAATTTTTTCTTCCTTGTGGACAAACAATACACGGTCCAATACCTGAACTATTCTTAAATGTTCCTGCTGAGCAGCCGACAGATGAATATATATATATGAGGCCATAAAGATCGAAAGTGCTGCCACTATAGTATCCGGGTGGACTAGACAGGATGACCAACGCCCTACCCGTATTGTCTAAAATAACTATGTTTGATGACCAAGAACTGATAAGAAGAAAACTCGGATTTACAGATAAATAAGAAGAAGAAACGGTGGTTTGTTGATTGTTAGGAAAGACAAAAATGGGCGAAGTGGAAGAATATTCAATATTGTACACTTGCACTGTAGACGCTGACCAAGGTGGATTTGTCAGAGAATAAGCAAGAATGGCTATTGTTGTATTATCAATCCACGCTACGGATTTACCAAAACCTATATAACTGTTCAATCGACTTATAGTTTTAAGGATACTTAAATTGGTCGTATTAGCAGACAATAGTACTACCGTATCGAATATTGGTATACCGATCAGAACTTGATTCTGTTCACTGATATCTACAGCCATGTCATATTGCAAAGTATAACTCATAGCAGACATCATAGGAACTGCGACATCACTTATTAGTAATACAGAGCTTATTAATGTAAAATTAAGTGTTAGATGATCCAAATAGATAAGCCAAGCCGTAGGGACATACTCAGTAAGCTCAAAAGTAAAAGCATATCCAGCTACAACAGCAAAATGTTCACTCATACCTAATGCATGTGGAACAAAGAAAGGATAAGCAGATAGGGGAGGAGGCAATACTATACTCTGGTTTTGTATTTTTATCTCATAAGTGTTTAGATCATAAACAAAATGAAAACTACTAGTAGCACCGTAAGCAAATAAGCCTAGTGGATCAACACCAATTATATAATATTCCTGATGACTGTAAGAAAAAGTCATAAGATTTAAGTAAGTATAGTTACATATCTGAGAACATTCGATTACACCTACAGTCTGATTTCCACTTACAATATCTTCTCCAATATGAACAAAATATAACTGACTAGCATTTTGTTTTTTCCCAGCTGCTATACTATAAACATAATTTGTTTGACTAATAAAAGGGATACTACAATATGTAGCATTCTTGGAATAGGCAGCACTCCAAAGAACTGCAAAGAATTTGAATGCATTATCAACATAAATCATGTACTGATCGTTTGCCACTACTCTAATACCATACGCATCATAATCATTTAAATCGGGGCTAAACTGATTAGTTAGAAGTGGATGATGAAAAAGAATGAGGCAGAAAAAGTAAAGAAACATGGTAACAAACGAAAGAAAAGTGGTCTGTATTTTCTGTTTTGATAATCAGGTAATGCAGTGTTATCAAATAAAGTCAAACCTCTTTTTGTAACTAATGTTTTACGCTTAAATTTTCTAATTATTTGCTCATCATTGCATTTAATTCAGGTTCATAAATGATTTCATAACAAAACATGATAGCCAAAGAACAATGTGCACAAACTGATGATTGTTGTCGCGTAGATTTCTAAACAAAGAGAAGACACTGTTATCGTTCCAATAGTTTTCCATTTCAGGAAAAGTTAACTGGTAAAATAACTTTCCATGACGTATAACTACAGTTTTCGCCTAATTTTAACCCTCTTAAAGCACTTTTTTGTCAAATAAAACGAAAACAGTTTTGATTAGGCGAATGTTCTGTATGAATTATTGATAATTGTACGGCCTGTCCAGCTAACGGTCACCTTCACTTAAGTTGGTTCGAAATTTTTTTTTTAACTTTAAAAATTTGTAAAGCACATCGTCTAACGTAGTTTTTGAAGCTGATTTCGAATATCAACTTAAAATTTCCGAAAAATTAAACTTTGACTTCAAAAAATTAAAGCTAAATTTTATTTTTAATTTCCTGACCTAGATATTTTCGCGAAAAAAATTAAGAGATATGGCATTTTGTAGAAAATTAAATTTTCTACAAGATGGTGTATTTATTTTTGAGTTTAGGTGCTTTTCAAGAAAGTTGGTTTTTGGAAAGACCAAGTTTTAAAACGGGTTTTTCTCCAAGTCAAAACGATTTCAAAACGTTTTTCTACGGTGCATCGGAAAGATCAGATCAGATACTGTCTACTGCTACAGGAAATATTTTTCTATGACGACTTTTGTAATGGAGTTTAACCTTCTGATTTGAAAGAATTAGAAAAAGCTGTAAGCCCATAACGAAACGTAAGTCCGTAATGTTTTTGTTTTTGATGTATCTGCCAGACTAAACACTTTCGAGACAAATCTTTTTTTGCTTTATATAGGCTTAATTCTCAGCTACGTTTGCTACGAAAAGGTTTTTTGAAAGAACCTCATTATTTCGCTAAACTTACTCTCTGTTTTTGCTCTACTCTACATTCACTTCTATTTTTTGTAAGTCCATGTACATGTATGAGAGTAGATAATTGCTTAACGCTCAATATTATTTGTATAAAAACTGTGCCACTTGGCTGAAACCCACAATATGTTGGTTGTAAATAGAACTCACCGAGCTCTATCAGCTGACGCAAGAACGGTACCCCACAGCATCTTCCGTTACAGAAACAATTGCTACGGACTAAAAAAAAGTGTAAGTCCGTAACGCCTGGACAGGCCGTGCAGTGAAACTGCATAACTTATCGCATATGAGTATGGTAGATGTTTCTGCATATGAATGTGACAAAGATTTATCACAAAATCTTTCGCTAGAAAGACGCTTTCTTACGAGGGAATCTTTCGAGGTGCCACCTTCCGTTTTCAGTGATACTGTGTCGGTTGATAGAGGATAGTGTCATAGTAAAAATTCTAAAAGGATTTATCCCCATAGCGTTTCTTTCAAAATTTATAATTTATTTTCGTCTGTTTGTATAAGGAAACAAGGTAACACTGAAAGCATTCTTTATCGGTAAAAACATCAAATTAAGAGCTCAAGCTTTTTTCATAACGCTGCTTCTGGTTTGTCGATATCTCAAAAACTTTCAGGCTTTGAATGTGCCTACACACTGAGTTATTAAGATTTTTCCTTGGTTAAGGAAACCGGTTTAATTAAGCTTTTCTGCTGATACATTTATTAATGTGTTATACTTTGTGAGAACTGGAAAATAAAGAAAAAATCTGAATAACTCAGTGTGTAGACAAGTTGAAAGTCTGAAAGGTTTTGAGATATTGACAGACCAGAAGTAGCGTTATGAAAAGCGCCGAAAGCTCTAAATTCGATGTTTTACCGATATACAAAACTTTCAGTGTTACTCTGTTCCCTTATAATTGCTGGGCATACCAAGTCTACGAACTATATCTGTAACTGAATTTTGATCTAAATCTGACTTATACTCAAAAATTTATGGAATTCTGCCTTTTTCGGTTCAAATATTTTAAGGGAACACCACCACTTATTCTGTTTTCGAATAAATAGTCGTTACCTTCGATCAATACATTCAAAATACTAAATGCGCTTATTTGCAAATTTTCACTGGATAAATCTCACAAGAAAAAGTGATTTGCAAAAGTGACTTATTTTTTATGTATACTAGTTATGTAAAAGGTTTTACACAAAAATATCTCATGTGTACGGTTCCAGTTTATGATGCATCAGAAGAGACAGGTGGACGCCTTCTCTACTACAATTACCGCCAAAGGAAAGTTAGAATAATCCAGCATACACGTCGGTAGTAAAAACTATCGCTATATCAAGCTCAAGATTGTTAAACATGAAAGCTTAAGCTCGAGCATGAGGTTGACATGTGCTTGACTCAAGCTCAAGCACAAAACAAGCTCGTCAAGCTCGCGTATCAAGCTAAAGCTTGAGGCTAGTACATGCCTAGCTATCACTTCTATGACATCACAAATGTAAAGAGAGTATTTTGTTTTTCTTTGTTAATGTATCTTATTTAATTAAACATATTCCGATCAGAGTTTTATAGTGCGAAGTATGTGCTATACTCGATGCAAAATCAAGGTTTTTTATCATCAGAATTGAAGACGAGAGAATTTATCGCTTACTTCAGAAACGAAAACGATCTGTGAGTATTTCACTTAGCAATGAAAACTTTATTCTTACCTAAGCGCGATCAGACTAGGTGAATATTCTCCAGATAATAACACAAAATAAACGTTCTATATCAGGTGTGTTAATCTGACTTTTTGATTTCATATTAGTGACAATAATTCTGAAATGTGTCCATAATGTGAAATAAATCTGAAGACATTTTAAAAGTGAAAAGAATAGAAAAGGAAATGAAAGACAAAAATATATATTATATCTGGACTAAATTTCATTAATCGGTCACAAAAAAGAATTTTTTGAAGAATACAGTCATTTTTCCTTTTTTCTTGTCTTGTAAAATGTATTTCTGCTTTCTGCAACAGTAATTCTAATAGCTGTGGAAAAATAACCCCAAAACCATGCTCTGCTCGCCTTCGTAAGTCTGCCACTGAAGCGTGATGCTTTCACAGTTTTCGCCTTTTACTACTCAGATGACTTTTGAACAGGAACGCATCGATGCAAACTACTTCAGAATATGAAGATGTGCTCTGTTTTAGCTACTCTCAATAGGACTTTTAGAAATCAAAATAAAATACTTCAGTCTTTGAAAATTAGCAATCTTCGCAGATAAAAGACTAGTTTTAACTAATCTAAACGACAGAATCATACCCAGCAGATAAAATAGTGTAAGATGCACGTAAAGCAAACTTCGAGTGAATCGAGTAAAAACGTTTGAGTTTATTACACATATTCGGATTTGTCCAAGCTCGCTGATTACGAATATCACCTTTCCAGTCAGAGAAAACGTTTTCATTCATAAGAAAAAACCCAAATACAGGAAAAGTCTTAAAAACATAAAAATTTTTCGTTTTAAGAAAAAGCTTGGCTTATGATTTTTTCCTGAAGTATCATGGAGACTTGAGCTGACTATATTTGGATTCCTTATTCAAAACTGCATCTAGCCAAGATAATTCCATGGCTCCAAAGCACAAAGTGAAATTTTGGCAAGGCCCGGAACATATATGAGTCAAGAACCAAGACCTTTCGTTCAAAAACTCTCGTACTTTTTTTGTGGAGGGCCAGACGTTTCATTCACACATCATTAGATAGGCGAGATAATCAGCTTTAAAATTACGTAGAGCGTTTTTTCAAATTTCGTTTCGTTCCTGAGAAAATTCATTTTTTCTAAATCAGAGACGAAAAAGTCGGAATTCTCCCGTAATTCTCAATTTTCTTGATCAAAACTCAACTTCTGAACAACAAAAATACCATATTCGGAGTTAGGATTAAAAACTGAATCGACTGATGAAGTTTTTGTTTGATTATCAGTTTTGAACGGTAACTTTGCAACGTGAAAATTCAAAAATAATTGAGTCAGTTGGATAGGATAGAAATACACATCAATCGACACAGTTTTTGATCCTGATTCCGAATATGATATTTTTGTTGCTCAAAAGTTGAGTTTTGATCGAGAAAAGTGAGAATTACGGGCAGAATTCCGACTTTGTCGCCTCTGATTTAGAAAAAAAACTCAGCAACGAAACAAAATTTGCAAAACAGCTCTACATATTTTAAAGCTGGTTATCTGGAATATCTAATCATCTGTGAATCAAATGTCTAGCCCTCCACAAAAAAGCCACTAGAGTTTCTGAACGAAGCGTTTTGGTTCTTGACTCATATACGAGATTCTTGTTCAAATTAGACTTTTTCTACGATGAAAGAGTGTTTCTGAGGCTATAGAAACTCTCTCACCCAAAAAAGTGCTAGGAAATTTTCTGTTCTGCTTAATTTTAACCAGACTTAGCTTGACTTGGAGGAAAAAATTTCGAAGAGTGACTTGACTTGAATTGAAAATTTCAACGGATAACTTAACTTGGCTTGAGAGAAAAAATCTTTCGACTTGACTTGACTTATGACTTGCAAAACTCTTGACTTGCCCAGCTCTGGTTTGAAACTATGATCGTTTCCCAAAAACTAATCTTTTAAAAAGTTTGACCGTTTACTGACATGAGATGAAAAAAGTCTCTTAACCCAGTATATAGCGAAGATATTGTTTATACCGGATTTTGTAAAGTAGAAAACGCAGTGTGTAGAATGGTGATGAAAGGATTAAAAGAACATGGTTGTCATTTGAGAAAAAAATGCTTTTTTAGCAAAGGATGGGGGCGACTATCTGATGATGAAATCGACTCATGAATTTTATCGACTACTCAAAGAGTGGATGTAGAATGAAGAGAAGACTATTTCTAGGTACTTACTAGACCTTAGAACCATTCCCAGAAAAAAATTGGTCGAATCGAATTTGATGAAGTTTCTACTGCATCTGATATATATTATACATCGTATTTTTGAATCTTTCTCTCACAGTTTCATAATTTCTCACTGCCATTATATATCATTCGAAATATATATCCATCCTATTCGACTGCTTTTAGTTTTTCTCGAATTTTCACGTTGAAAAATTAGCGAGGATAATAGTAGAAAAGGAAATGAAGGACAAAAATATTTTCTCTGGACTAAATTCCAATAATCGGCCACAAAAAAGAATCTTTTGAAGCAAACAGTAATGTTTCCTTTTTTCTTGTCTTGTAAAGTGTATTTCCGCTTTTTGCATGTTACTACTTAGATGACTTTTGAATAGTAGGTCCAGGAGCACAAGCTCTGCTAGAATCAAGTTTTCTAAGAACTATCTCCACATCGGGTAACTGAACTTTAAATTTATCAATCTTGACGATTGATTCCGATAAATTGTCCGCAACATGCGGATGAATGTCTGGTCATGTCCATGTACAAACTTGTGCAAAATACGTATTCAAAGTTTCTACTTTACCTTGGCTGTCTACTATCAAATCGCCCACAGTATTTCTTAGAGGTGGTAAAACCTGACCGCTTGAAAACCAAGTCCTTGGTCTTTGATCAGAAAATTTCACGAATCATATAGCTTGATAGAGCAAAAAATTCTGGGAAAAATAAGACATTTCCCGGCTCTCTAGAACGCTTTGTCACCGGAATAAATCGACTGCAGTTGCGTGACAAAGCGTTATAGACAGACGGGAGATGTAAGGAATTTTTGAAAGTGGGAAGTGAAAAGGGAAACATCTGCGACCATTTTCACTTAAAATCGTATTGGGCCATTGTCTATCAGAAACCGTTTCCGTCCTTTTCTATTTAAGATGACTGTCAATTTGGTCGATACTGCTCGATAAGAAATGATGTTACACGGCTGACTCTCACGCTCAAATGCCCCTCCTCCAATAATGGAAGCTGAAAAGTCTGAATATATGCTTATGGTTTTCTCTCTATTGTTCGACTTTTCAGACTTCTGAGAAAAAATAGAGGACTTGCAATCGAAGATTACCTGACCTATATGGGGTGGCCTAAACTACTCAAGAAAAAAAATAAAATTAGCATACTTATAAATATATATCATTTTCTACTTTGTACCTAAACCAGTTCTCGGCATATGCAACTTCGTTTTTAAAAAAAATAAAATTCTCAGTGACTGTGTATCTCCAGTTTTTTTTATAGTGAAAATTTGACTTTTTTTGCGCGATTTTCGGCATTTTCCATAAATTAAGCATTTCAGCATTTCGTTAAAATTTGAGTTCGATTGGACCGTTTTTTCGAGGGACTGTAATGTGATCCGATGAAAACCCATATAAGAACATCTCAGAAAATTCTGGGCAAAAATATATCGATTTTCTTTTTTGATGTTCTATGTCTGCTATAAATTTGAGCTCGATCGGCCATGTGCTCCACATTGGCAACAAGGTGAAAAAAGAGGGAGGGCTATCCTTAATAACTTTATGAAGTTAACGACGAATATTGTCTTACTTTTTTGTCCGGTGTTGGAAATTCAAAATTTGATTTGAAATTGTGAAACTATTTTGTTTCGGATTCAGCATCAAAAATCGAGTCTAAAGAGGATGTTTTAGCCAACATTTTTTTACTTTCTATTCGAATTTAGTGAAAAGTAATCGTTATAGGTAAAAAAATTAATGCAGAATTGAATGAACATAGTCTAGAGCACACTAAAAGTTTTCTAGAAGGTTCCTGGAAACTGTTCTTGAAACACAATGTACAAAAACTCACTGTCAATTGGCTGTGTTACATGAGGACAACACCTTATGTGTCGGAATGTAAAGTTTTACAATGCAGCTGAATGTAATACAGTTTTGAAGAATAATTTTTGATATTACTTTCTTCCTTTTACTACTATGTTACTACCACAGCAGCAACAATAACAAGTGAGCCAGATTAAACCAGCGACTTTTTTTGTGTTTTGAGGTACTAAAAATAGTTTTAAAACCCGGTTTTGATCTCATTCGATAGAGAATTCATTGTTCTACAAAACTGTCGACGTTATTTTTCCAATAAATTTTTCTTATTGGTACAATATTTAAAAGATTAACATCTACTCTAAGTGTTCAACTGCGACGGTCAAATAACAAACAACCGCTGAAACTTTTTTAATCGTTTCGCTGAAATTTCAAATATGTCTCAGAGTTCTCCGTAAGACTATGCATGTTTCAGAGTTTTAGAAGAAATGTTTGCGAGAAAAATGTCTGACGCAACAAATGTGAAAACACCGAAAAAAATGACAGAGCTATGCCATTGTTTCCTCTTAACTTGAAATAACTTAAAAGTTTTAATCCGTCAGCTTGACAGTCACACCATGTCGTTCTCTAGCGACGGCGGCTTGAGAATAAACGTTTCATAGACTAATTCTGGCTTTGGCAAACATGATTTTCAAAAATGCATCCAAAAATACTACTAGGTGTTACTTCAAAGCCTGTTTCTGCTGAACGATAGCTCTAGAAACCTTAAAAGGTCGTGGGAGCATAGAGTACAAATTTCTCTATCTATTGCTGTCAAATACTTTACTTTTAGCCATCGGACTTGATGAATAGAGGCTTACATAAATCGATAGATGTCTGCAGAAAACAGAAGCTCGCAGTTCGACAATTATGTAGGTGTTCGTCAGATAAAAAATTTTGTACCAATAAGAAAAATTGATTTGAAAAACAAAGTTGACAGTTTTATAGAGCAATGGGATTCTCTATTGAATGAGCTCAAAACTAGAAAACAAAATTGATCATTTTAATCTGTCCCACCCGTTATAAAAAAAAGGTGAATATTAAACTATAGTGTAAGGCTTATAAATTGGTTGTTATTCTATTGTTTATTTTAATTCAGTCATTTCTAAACTAATATCCCATAGACGTTGCGCTTGTTCCATATCAACAGAATGTGGTGATAAGCCAAAATAACCTTGCTCATTTGTAACACCTACACTTATATTACAATCTTCTAAATATTCACCAGATTTATCATCTAATTCATTACTTAATGCTGCCCATACAGTTGTTGCTGCACCTTGTTCAACATTTTTAAAAGCTTCAATTAAATTTCCATTTTTATCAAAAAATCCCATTTGATTCATTTCTTCTCTAGTTAAATCTTTTTGTAATCCAGTCATTATACCACCAGGATGTAATGAATATGCTTTTATACCATCATTTGAATATAATTTTGATAATTGTTTGGCAAATAATATATTCGATGTTTTTGATTGTGCATACGCTTTCCATTTATCATAATTTTGTTCCCAATTAATATCATTCCAATTAATACCACCTTGTCTATTAGCACATGAACTGACTACAATAACTTTTGATGGTTTACTAGCTTTTAATACAGGTAATAATAAAATTGTTAATAAAAAATGAGATAAATGATTAACAGCAAATTGTGATTCATAGCCATCAATTGTTTTTTGATATGGTGTTGCCATTATACCAGCATTACATATTAATATGTGTAAAGGTAATTTACGTTTTATATATTCATTAGCAAAGTCACGAACAGATTTTAATGAGTTTTGATTTAATTCCATAACTTCAACGTTATTATTATTTGTTGTTGTTTTTATATCATTAACAACATCAGCACCTTTTTCCATGTTTCGTGCTGTTATTATTATATGTGCCTTTGTTAATGCAAGTGCACGTGCTGTTTCAACACCGATACCTAAAGAAAACTATTTTAAAATTAGAATTTGTTTTACTTGTATTATATATACAATTGAATTACCCGATGTAGCACCAGTAATTAATATAACTTTTCCAGTTAAATTTGCTTGTAAACTTTCAACTACTTCACGAGCAGTTGATTTTGCATTAAATTTAGGTGTTGTTTTTTGTGTTGATTGAGATTTTGTACCACTACATCGAAATATTGAACATGATTTTTTATCAGATGCCATATTTATTGAATTAATTTGAGTCGTATTATCTGAAAATATGAAAGATCACTCTTCAGCTGTCATACTTTCTTTCTCAATTTCAACCTTTTTTCAAACAGAGTTAACCTCATACATAAAACCCGTTCGGTACGAAACTTTTACAGCAATAACAAGTGTATGTATAACATAATTATACCTGCCTGATAGTGTGATTTGTGCATAGAAGTTAGACTTATTCTCCATGTTTCCTGATTTTGGAAATTGTAAAATCGTTGTGGAATTTATGTGACATGTAGCCCAATTGCCTACTATGAAAGAACCTAACAGAATAGAACAAATAAAAAGAAATTGTCTTTCGCTGATTAGCCGATAGCAGTCGTTTCAGTATATGTAAAAACACAACTTCCTGTTGTGTAATGGTTGTAAATCCGTCCGTAAGTATAATCGTTGTTATACATGTCACTTCTTTCTCCCACAGATGCCGCATTTTCTGAGGAACGTTTAACAGATGTCGAGAGCACTCTAGACATCCTGTTGTGGGTTCTCTCAGTCTCGGTTAGTATTCATTCTGGATTATTATTTTCCAACACTTTTAACAATGTATATAAGAGATGGCTTTCTCACGAGAAATCCTATGAAAGTGATGCCTTCCGTTTTCAATGTATTATACATCGGTCGATAGGGTATATCGAGATAGTAAAAAGTTGAAAAGAATTTGCGCTGATGCCTTTTCCTTCAAAAATTATGACCATTTTTCTATTTTTCCCAGGGAAAAATAGCTGTAAGTTAACGTTTACACCATCAAATTTCAATTTTTTCTCAAAATCAACACATATTTCGAATCAGCGGTAAAAACTGCATTGAACAATCTTTCTTTCGGAATTTTTCGATAACTGCGATTTTTTCCCATTTTTCGACCGAAGTTTTTGCTGAAAAATCGAAGTTGTCTAAAAATTCCGAAAGAAAGATTGTTTAGTGCAGTTTTTACCGCTGATTCGAAATATGTGTTGGTTTTGAGAAAAATTGAAATTTGATGGTGAAAACGTTAACTTACAGCTATTTTTCGCTGGGAAAAATAGAAAAATGGTCATAACTTTAGAAGGAAAAGGCATCAGCGCAAATCCTTCTCAACTTTTTACTATCTCGATATACCCTATCGACCGATCTATAAATCATTGGAAACGGAAGGCATCACTTCCGTAGGAATCCGCGTCAGTATATAATATCAGGAGTTGCTATAAAGTTAGACTCGAATTAAACATAGGAAGAGATAATATTAGTTGTATTTGGTGCACCACTTCTGCCACCAAAGTTATATGAAAGAAAGATGAAACTTAAAGTTCAGAAAATTCCAAAACATGAGTGGGGGATCAGTAAAACGCTCTGAAAAGCAGTTGATTGCAGAATGAATGAAATAAGTAGGAAAGTATAAAAGTCTGTAGGCTAACGATCAAATCAGTCAAACAGTGTATTGGTTTAACTTCTGCTGGACTGGACGTGCATTGCGAGTTGTGAACACTATGCTCTACTAAAAATACGCTTTCACTTTCAAAAAACGTTCTGATGAGCCGAAATCGACAGAAAATTGTAGTGAGGATGCATCGGAAAAAACCATGGATGCATCATAAACAAGAAAAATACTCTTTCAATATTTAATAGAAGAGCCAAACAAAAATTTATTGGTGACATATCGTCAATATTAACAGGACTGGATGATTTTTTATCTAGAAGCAGTGAACAATATACGTAGTTTTTTCGAGAAGATCAACATATACAGGTCTGAATAAATTAATTAAAAGTTTCTGTCGGTCCTGCCTACATCGGCTTCGAAAGAACGGATTTTTCTTACAATAGATATATAATATTTCTTAATGACTTTAACACACCAAGTTGATTAAATTTACCTACAACTGCAGAAGGTCTTTCTCTTTTTTTTATTAGTATACATAAAAAGCATATGAGAAGACGAAGAAAAGAAACAAAAACATGTTGATGAGTCACGACTCGTTTTACGCATCAACTAATTGAACATTTTTATTTTTCAATACTGACGTCAAAAATATCTTTTTTGGACTTGATGAAGACTTCTCTAGTGATCTTAATTCTCCTCAGCTCGTGCTCACCACCACCAAATGCTCACCTCGGTAATAACAGCCTCCAAAAAGTAGGGATCTGTTGTATGTGTTTCGTTGCATTCTGTTCTCGAAGACAATACAGGGATAAGACAAAAATAGCTAAAAATCAATGAAAAGACGTAGAGAAAAACGAGGGATTCACAAAATAATATCATATATTTAAGCAACACTAAGATTCTCAAATTCACAATTTCGGAGATGCAGTTAAAATTATTATTAGATATGTGAAAATGAAATATAGATTTTAGCTAAATAAAGAAGGGCTTCTGAATGTTCAAAAACTCAAAGGTTCCAAAAATTATTCTAAATATAGAAGGGTATCTTCAGATACCACTTTGGTTTCCAAAAAAGCTTTCTTTTGAGGGTGAGGGCTTTTCCGAAGCTTTTCTTCTAAAATCTAAAGGCTTCAGAACGTTTGGAAACCAAAAGGATATTAACATTAAATCGATTTTGTGGCAAAAACTTCAGAATAATTATAATTTTAAAAGCAACTATCTTGATAGTTGCTGTTATAATTATTCAAAAGTTATTGTCAGAAACGCATAAGGATTTTAGAACTCTGTTCTGAAACTCCTCTTAATTTTCGAAAGAGTATCCAAAAAGAGTCTGAGTCTTCTAGAAAACTCTTCTTCTTAGAGAGTACTTGAGCCTCCAATACTCGTACTGAACTCATACTCTAAAAAACCTATATTCGCCCTAAAGACGGGCTTGATCAAGTATTTTTGGTCGATGCGAATAAAAACTGAAATACGAATATTAGAAGAAAATGCTTAAAAGATGAAATTTTCCTACATATCTTGGCTCTTGTTCTTCGTATAAACTTGATTTTTCTTACACTGAAATTTCAGAGAATGTATTGCTATTAATACAAAATATGAATTAGATTATGGCTGAAAAATGGTCCACACAGAATTTTACGTTAGCTTAGGGAAGCCGTCAAAAATAATGAAATGCGTAGAACGTAGACGTAGACTATATTCTACGTGTAGAAAGAACGGATATCATTCTCTCTCCTTTCTTTTTTTCTCGTATTTTGCAGAAAGAGAAAAGTCTGATATGGTTACAAAATGGAATAAAGTTTCGTTTTCTATTATCAATTGTATAATCCAATCTAATCTAAACCTCAGTTATATGTTTTTCTCTAACGAACGAAATGAAACAGAACAAATTTTATTTTTTAGTTCAAACGTTGATCTACTCTTCTGCAGAAGAAAAAATGGCGCTTATTTTGAGTTTAATGCTAAATCGCTCA